TGATGATAATTGTTAGCAATTTGTCCGCCATTTGTCCTCATTTAATTTTTCTGTTATGCCAACTGTATATGATATTCTAGAAGAAGTTTGTTAGCTATTCTGAGGCCAAGCACTCGTCTATATGTAATCCTGGTGTACTTGCTTTTAATCAGAGCAATGAGAATATTTTCTTTCTTCTCCATTTCTTTTTCCTAATATGGTATCAAAGTATTTTCCTTCTTCTTCGTTTTGTTCTTCTTTTCTTCTATCCATTTCTGAGTGTGGCTAGTGGTGGTGGTTAGCAAAATCCTCATAATAATAACAATAATAATAACAACAACTGTTTCCAGCCTCTTACTTCTCCATCTTCCTTCACTACCTTATCCACGCATGATTCTTCTACCATGGATAATATCAACAGTCCTTTTTTTCTTCATAGTGGTGATCATCCTGGCCTGGCCCTTGTTTCCCATATTCTCACTGGGCCTAACTATAATACTTGGAGTCGTGCCATGCTTATGGCTCTTAATGCCAAAAATAAGCTTAGTTTTGTTGATGATACTCTTTTGCAACCACATTCAGGGGATCCCTCTTCTGGTGTTTGGTCTAGATGTAATAGTATGATCACATCTTGGCTCCTCAATGCCGTCTCTAAAGAAATAGATGATATCCTTCTGTACCTTGACAGTGCTCAAGTTGTTTGGTCTGATCTGCACGATCGGTTTCATCAGAGCAACGCCCCACTCATCTTCCCAATTAAGCAACAATTACATGGCCTTCCTCAAGGAACCCTTGATGTCAACACTTACTATACTCGGTTGAAGATTCTTTGGGATGAGCTCAAACATTTCCTGCCCGTTCCTGTTTGTCAATGTGGAGGTATGAACGCATGGATGGATTATCAAGAACAAGAGTATGTGATGCAGTTTTTGATGGGTCTCAACGAATTCTATGCTAGAATGCGTGGTCAGATTTTGATGCTCGATCATTTGCCCTTTGTTTCGAAGATGTTCAATCTTGTCATTCAAGAAGAACGACAACGCTCCATTAGCCCTAGTTCTCTGGCTCTTGCTAATTATTTGGCCTTTAATGTTTCATCCTCTCCCCCTATTCTTCCCACTCTGGCCATCGTTGCCGCCACTTCTTTTTCTCCGAGCAAGACGAAGTGTGATCGCCCCATCTGTTCCCATTGTGGGGTTACAGGCCGCACGGTAGATCCTTGTATAAGCTTCATGATTTCTCACCGGGTTACAAGCCCATGCCTAAGACTCCACAAGCCCAACAAGTTCAGCGGGCCTAGCACTCCTTTCAATCCACGACCTATCTTGTCTCCAAGATCCTTTTGTACTCTCCATCGCCTATAACATACCCTCCACTGTCTACAGCCGCGACAACCATGAGACCATCTCCACCACCTAGTTCACTCACCACTGATCAAGTTCAACAGCTCATTGTGATACGATAGGTGCAGCACAAGAGGCACAATCGGCTTACGGAGCACAAGGGCAA